TTTATTATGGAACTGTGATTTTGAAGGGTGTAGTAAAATGGGAAACATCGCAACAAAAATTTCCACGAAGCAAAGGACAACGTTCAATCAGATTTTTTCAAAATTGATATTAAGCGGTTAATATGTAGATATTAGATTTTTGCCCTGCACGTTTTGTATCATACAATGCGGAATCGGTTGGTACATTTCCGATTCTAGACATTTTAGAAGCAGTAATTAACTCTATTGAGCTGTGTGTGTTATTAGCTTCGTCTCATAATACAAATATACGAAATGCCAGAATACACCATCATATAACGACTACCGTATCGCCTACGGGCTTGAAATCGATATCACGAAGAAGTTTTCACTTCGGATAGCAAACAGCAAAGGAGAAATCGGTTATTATTTTTCGAAAGACAAGGATAGTTTTGAAATGAAAGAATTGAAAAGAAATTCGAAACGTAAAGAAGCACTTAACGTTGTTGAAATCTACCACGCGAACACAAATAACAATAATATTTCGTCATTATTGCTATTAAGGGTTGTTAATTACTTTGTTTGTCATTTAAAAATAAACGGGGTTTTCACTGCTATTGGCAGGTATTTAAGGGAAATAATAGGTGTAAATTCAGGGCAGATTAAAAACTAATTCAAACCCTGATAATGCCTGGTAAAGCGAGTAAAGGAAGTACTTGTATAATTACCCTGTTTAATTATTTGTATCTTCTTCAAAGTTTATAAGGGTGTAACAGTATTGTTATGAGTCACCCGGGGGGTCGAATTGCTACATTAAAGCCCTGCATCGCAAAAAAAAGACGAGCAAAGCATAACAGAACCCGACAGTGCTCTAAAGGGATTCCCCGTTTTTCCGTTGAGCGTCGTAGATGACGGGGGTTTTCACCTTCTCGAAGTACATATATGTACCGCCACTGCCGCCCCTTGTCTTGCCATCACAACGACATATTGTCGTCGGGGCTTAACACACTCAGCGATTCCTTTGTCAGCACCTGCTTATTGTAACTCTTTAAGAAATGCCGCGTACGTCGCCACCCCCGTCCATTCTCCGACGATGATTTATTATGGTTGGTAGTCTGACGTAGCTAGAAAAATTGCTTCCAGGAACTTTTTGCGAACGTTTAGAATATTCCATCGCCTTATCGATAGAAACGTATATCAAGGTGGCCATATCGAATTTTCGCGACTTTCATTTGGTTTCCTGATTATTATTATTATGTTTAGAGTTTTTGATGGAAAATTGAAATTAAACATATTGAAGTTAGTACTAAGGCAGGATGTTAAGTATTATCGGTCTCGGTTGAAATTGCCGAAGGTGGTGTTACATTTCGTAACGTCGCGTTCAGCAGCCGACGTCGGCGTCATTGTCATCGCGAGGGGGTGAATGGGATGGTTCTTCCGTGAGTAGGCAGTTAAATTTTGTCTGAAACAAAAGAAATTAAACAGCCTAAAGCGGAACGATGCAATCTTGACTTATCCTACGGGATATAAGGGAGAAGATAACGAAGGAATCGTCTGTGAGAGAAAGAGAGGAACGAAAGGGGAAGGGGGTGGGTGGATTGGTTGGCTGGTGCGCTAAGGAAAATTGGCCGTTACCGAAATACCCTATTTCAGGTTTTAAATAGGGTATGACAATGGCTCATTGTCCCTTTCCTCTATGCTGTGGGTGTTTTTATCCTGTGGGTAGGTACACTGATAAAAAAATGTTTTTTAGAACCAAGCAGCTACTCTAATGCAAAGTAATAATGAAAATGAAATTGTTTTGTGATTAGCAATACTTATTTTCTTAGTTTTACTGTTTTGTATTGAAATACATATCACAATACTGGAAAACTATGAAATTCTTTTTTTCTATGTCAGCAGAGGAGTTAGAATATTTTTTTGTAGAGTGTAGTCGGTTGTTGTTATTGTTATAGACATTATCATTATTATTAATGTTTGTCGATTAAGTTTACTTTTCAATTATCCAAATTGCTCTCATTAAATCTAAACACGTACGTATGTTATTCTTGGTCATCGTGATCGAAGTCTTCAACGGTGAACTGTGCTATTTTCTATCAAAACAGGGATGTTAAGTAAAGGCGTCGTAATTGTTATGCAGTTGCAACAAAATTAGACCGGTCGGTTTGCTATATAATATAACCTTACTTGTTTGATTATGGAAAACAGGGATGATGTCGAGAAATTGATAGGAACCGTTTATTTTAGATGAACTAACTTGGAGTTGGTAATTTGAGAAATTATTGAGTAATCGCGCTTAAGCCATCGACAAAATAGTGTGTAGGAGGTAATTTCGGGGTAGTTTATGTAAGGGTGCAAATTTAAAAATTAGTAGGTATATTTAACAAAGAAGGATGTATTTATTCCTTATACTATGCTTCATCGATATACTATTGTTTACTGTTTGTTTTGAGAAAATTAGAAAATACAAATATATTTAATTTTTTTTAAAGAATTCAAAGAGGTGAAATTGATACGGTCCTCGAATTGATTGTTTTTGCATATGCGTATTAAAATGAACATGATGCAAGTCTTGTGCATGTCGATAAAATGTTGATCGAAGATAACAGGCACAACACGTGTCCGGTGTCCGTCCATTTTGATTGCTATGCGGCTTCGATGCGATCTAGGCAGGCAATGAATAAACTGTCCGAGAGCCCTGATTGATGCAACGATCACGGGCCTCCGGTCTACGCTTGACAGGACATTCTTGACGTGCAGCCGGACCAAGCGATAGGACGACGGACGCGTGTATCTATTTACTGTACAGACTGTCACGCTGTCAGTTCTTGTGCTCTTTTTTGTTTAACAAATATTAGATGTGTCTGCTGGACGAGATAGGCGGGTGGAAATCAGGCATAGGTATAAATGATCCGGGATGTAAAATTGTTAAAATGCGAAACTTACTGTATTGGTTTGACCCAGTTCCAGCAAGATAAAGGCGGAAGCTTCGGAACGGTTTAGGTTTTAGTCGCAAAGCCCGCATAATCCCAACTTTAACCTGTTAAAGCTTGGTTTACCTTTACCCCTGATCCGTAACGTATAAATTATTGTTAATTTTTAATATTGAAATGCGACCATTTTGTGACATAGTGTACATCCTTATTGGGCCTATTGTATGTGTAATGAGGATGGCAGGTATGGAAAATATGGGTGTCGATTTCCCTGCGGAAAACTGTTACATATTGTGTGTGTGTACGTGTGAGCGGTACGGCGTGCATCCGCCTGTCTCTGTAGGTATATACGTACGTACGTGTAGGTACCTATACATATTAAAGAGATGGCGTGTTAACAATTAGGTTGCATTTAATTGGCTCATTCAATCAACACAATCACTGTCATACACGGAGACGCTTTACATGCTGCACGCTTTGCGGCCTGTCACACTGATGACCGACAAATTGTGCTAATTAGCTAATGGCAATTCGACGACTTACACTCCCGATCAGATCTACTCTAACCTTTTTTCCTAAATCATATTTAAAATGGCCTTAATATTAAATTGTTAGGTGTCTAATATGGCTAAAGATTTTTTGACGTGGTTCAAAATTAATCAGTTTTGGACTCCCTCACGTAGCACGGTTATAATGCCGGACGTGATTCTTCTTTCTCGCCAAATTTCGTTAAAAAAAAAACTTTTGGGTGTTTCATTCCCACCAGCCCCTTATGCTGGTGGGCGGGCAGTCCTTCCGGACTATGCCGGAAGGTAGGGCGGAAGGCCCTCTTCAGCCTGCTTGCAGGAATCGTGGGAATAGGTGGGTGGTGGTTCAGGTGAGAAAGTTGAGACGGACGAAATGAAGACAGAAGATAATGAAAGATTATCTGTAGAATATTTCTGCCCCAGCATTTGCCTAATGATCCAAGGAAACTACAGAAAAACTTGGACCAAGGCAGGCGGACCCGGAATCGAACCGGCGTTCTCCCGAATGATAAGCAATGGTCCAAACTTCTAGGCCATGCCGCTCGGTTTAATTTTCGTTACAGTACGTGTGCATTGTTATAGTTTAAGGATTCAGCTAACCATTCAAACAGATTGTGAACTCCATCTGTACAAATTTGCTACAAATTGTGAGTTCAGTCAAATCATTGGTAAACTTGCTATTAGCAGCAAATTGGTGGAAATCAAATAATAATAATAATAATTTAATTTCTTGTAGTGTTTTAATTGAAATAATTACACAGATTAATTATTTCCCTGTCTTAATTGTTTCCATTAACGGGCTTTAATAAAATAAAAAGGGGACCACTTTCGCACTTTCCCGGACAAGAACGAAACTATTAATCTTAATTTAGGTCGTGCGTGTGCTTTGCGAGCGTACCTATGAGACGTTTTATCTCTTAAAACGTTAATAATTTTTCGTGTCCATATGGTGCCCAAGTTGCACATGTTACGGTAGCGAGAATTAAGTTATTGTCTCGTTTAAAAAATTCATCGGCGAATATATATTATAAAAAGCGAGTGGATTTATTGTTCAATTAAAGCAATGTTTTTAAGTAGCCGCACACACGTTTACACGTTATACGTGGAGGGTGCTGTAAAAGATGGAAATTCTTCTGGGGCACAATGAGCAGGTGTGGCTGCAATTTAATCTTAAATTGATTCCATTTGGGTAGTATTCACAAAATAATGTAGAATTGCAGAATTTAATGAAGTAAGTAAAGTTTTACGTATTTGAGTCGCGATTTTGAACTTGTTAACTCTCATCAGCACATCTTAACTATTTGTAAAATGAAACGAAAATTCTTGCATATACCTATCTGTCTGAAGTAAAGCGAGTTAGGTAATTTTACATGTAAACTTTTTATGTTTGTCCCATGGAATGCATTGTTCCGTCGTTTTATGTCGGGCAATTGTCTAAAATTGGCAAAGTTGCGAAACAGTGCACTTTTGTGTAGGTACGTGGACGTGTGTGTGTGTGCTGTAGTATACATTGGGGTGTGTTTTGAGTTTCTTTGCCCTGCGGATTAGTGGAGCTAACTCGGTTTTATCTCCGTTTTTATAGGATTCGGAAGGAGATACTCCATTACATGACGCAATATCCAAGAAACGTGATGACATGTTAACTCTCCTGTTGGACCATAATGCCGACATAACGCTGACTAACAACAACGGTTTCAACGCCCTACATCACGCCGCTCTCCGCGGAAATCCAAGGTAAGAGATTATTTTCGTTTTTGCTGCTTTTTGTTCTCTTGTGTCTTTTTGTCGCCGTTGTGTTCCTTCCGTTTTACGATTATGCAAGTCTGCAGCAATAGAGTGACGGCCCTTATTCCGTCCGGAAATGTAACTGGCTCCCTTTCCCTTTAATAACGATGCACTTTTCAAAGTTGTTTGCTGCACTTCATCGTTCTACCAAATTTAGACAGGTTTTATTATACGCGACAGACGTTTTGCTTTGTTCATTAGTCTCGTTGATTACATGGACGAAATAGGGACAAGGGTCGTAAAAACGTTGCTCGATTTTTCCGCCTTTAGTAGGTAATCTACCTACTCTAATAAAACTTGTTCACCAGAAGCAACAAAATGTTACATTTTTATATTTGTCACAGAACTATTTTGAAGACGCCGAAAAGGTAGGTGATTATTATTTTACTGTGACTGAAGGTCACCGTGGAGGGTTTCAAATTCATGTTTACGAATGTGCAGGACGAAATGAACTCAGTGCTTACTCATATGTTGTTTGAAGTTAATTCTCTAGTTTATTTTTTGATTCTTATTTAGTTTTTAATCTGTACATCGATGACGCGATCAACATCATTACAGACGGTACAACTGTAGGGATAGATATACAGGGGCAAAAGATTAGGGTGCTTATAATTGCAGATGATATAGCAGTATTAGCATCTAGCAAGGACTTAGAGATAGCTTGAAATGAAATGGAAGCGGACAAAAGAGTACTGTAGTAAAACAAAAATACTGGTATGCAAGGGAAGAAAAAGTAGGGAAAGAGCGAATATAAAGATAGGAGATGAAAAATTAGGAGAAGTAGCTGATTTTAGGTATCTAGGAAGTCAGATAGGTCAGGACGGAAGGAGTAGTAGGGATATAAGGCAGAGGATAGTGCAGGGTCGAGATGCCTTCAATAAAAAGAAGTCACTTCTATGCTCGCGAACGGTGAATTTAGAAATTCGAAAAAGATTGTTAAAGGTGTATGTTTGGAGCACGGTGCTGTACGGGTGCGAAACATGGACGGTGGGTGCGGCGGAAAAGAAAATGTTAAAAGCGTTCGAAATGTGGTGTTACAGGCGAATGATGAGGATACCGTGGATAGAGAAGGTTAGTAATGAAAAGGTATTAGAAAGAATAAGAGAACAGAGGACTCTATGGAAGCCAATAAGAAATAGTTAGTAGGACACCTTCTCAGGCATGAAGGTCTAGTTAGATACATATTATAGGCAGAAACTGAAGTCAGGAGGGGTAGAAAAGAATAGAAGAGGATAAAGAAGGGTAAAGATTAGATTACTGTTCACAAATAGTTAAGGATATGGGATATTCTAGTTTTAGGGAAATGCGAAGATTAGGTCAGGATAGGAGAAAGTGGAGGTGCGTGTCCAACCAGTCTTAGGACTGACAATCTTATGATGATTTAGTTTTGTGTTAAAGTCAAATGTGCCAGATTTTCGTTTTACTTCAGTCTTTAGGGCAATGTGTAGTCAGTGATGCGTCACGTAATATTTTCGCGGTACGGGCGGTAGCGAACTATGCGATTCCGATAAAATCGATGGCGCGTTTTGCATCATAAAGGATTCCGGATATGATAATTCGATGCAGATGCACTCGTCGAAATGAGCGCTTTCGAAGCCCCGAAATGGCTTGCTTTCACGTTTTCGCGTTCGCTACATGCACTCATAGGTTTCGGTATTGAAATTCCGCAAGAATTCTCCAGCGAACTTTTCAATTTGGAACGCGGCATCGGCCTTTCATCATCCATTGCCCTGCCCGTTAACGTTAAGGTTAATTTTGGTACATGGAAATGTATGCCCTAACAACCAATGGCTTTTATTTTTTTTTGTTGTTATTTTTGACTTTGATCAGTCGTACATCACCGTTATCGAAGATGTCAAAAAAAGATAATTTTACTTGCAGTTATTAGCAGAACTGTCAATGGAGACTAACTAAAAGGGTTCATGTTTGTCTTTTTTTTTTTGGCACCGAGTGACCGAACCCTAATAATTAGTCCCTTTAGTGTCTTTAGGATAATAGGACTTCTTATTCGAATTATTTTGTTTATTTCGTTGTCCACTTTTGTGTTTGGTTTTTTTTTTGACTGACTTTTGTTTGCGCCCTTTGTCATTGGTGTGTTATCCGTCGTTTCGAAAAAAGAAAAATGGTGTAATCGAAAAAAAAAACATTTCCTTAAAACTGCCCTTTCCGGCGACCTTTCAGAATAAATAGATCAATCCGAGTCCGGCAGGTCGCGATCCGGTGAAGCATAACGAAGGAAAATCGGACCGTTGCTGAAATATTAACGAAGTGTCCTGTGCAAAAAAATATTGCTTTTTAGGAAATATAGGACACTTTAAGACAGTCTATTCATTCTCGTGATCCCTTACTTACATCCGATAAATTTAAGCTAAAATATAACAAGAGTCCCAAGTCCCCTTTTTGTCCTGTCGAACTTTCCTTTAAATTTGGTTCCTTTTTAATGGAATAATTTAATTTTTCTAGGGTTTTTGTTCTTTTTATCGATACTATAAACAAGGGATGTATTTCGACTTAATAAATTTTAATAGCTTCGAGGGATTGCTAATTGTTAGCAGAAGTGTATTATTATATCCCTGTATTGATTACATTATCTCGTATTTAGTTTGTTTACGTAATCCACCACAAGTTCGCTTCAGCTTTATTAGACGACGGCAAGTACCCACTTCTACTCCTTGGAGAAGTTTCCAACTAACTCGGTAATAAAGAGTGATTTGAATTTTAGCGTATTACGGATGCGGATGCAATATGCATCCATATATAACGGGCACGATATTGGTAAAAACTTGGCACTGTTCGTCCTTGGTTCTTACCTTCTCTCTCTCTCTCTCTCTCTCCTTATTTCTCAACTGGGAATCAAAGCCATTTATAAATGCCAAGTGCAGCTTGCTAAGTCCACGAGTCGCGTTTGAATCACAAAGACTTCTTGATAGTAGTGGGTGGATTGTTTGGGGCATACTGGAAGCTGTTCTTGCTTACCTCCTTCCGATATCAATATATATTTATATACACACATACGTATGTGCATATATGCACCTTTACGTAATTCTTTTCTATTTTAATTGGGAGGGATTTTCTTTTTGTATATTCCTGCCAGCTAAAACTTTATATATACCTCGTATTCATTGTTAGTCAGCAAATTTTTTATTTTTGAGTTTATTTAGTGACACTTCAGATTGTTTTAAAATTAATTAAAAAACGTTGATTTTGTTAATTGTATACCAAAAAAGCGACACTTCTGGTAACATTATTCCTTCTATTTTCAAGAAGGAATTTTTCTGAAGGGTCTTCCGGATACCTTGTTGTAGATTTTGTAAATAATGTTGCTAGTAGTATCTTTCTCATCGAAAAGATAATTTGTTTTATGAGCGGACTTTATCATTGTGCTTTCTCGCGCGAATTGGTGAATCTAACTTCATATATTGGTTCACAATTTCGTGCCGGTTGACTCTTCATAATATATTTTTGTTATTGTCACCCAAATAAAGGAAGATTTCTTGTACCAATACTGAGACTGAGCTGACTGAGACTGTTCGGTAGTTAGGAGGGTATTTGGGCAGTCCCCTTTTGCTTGTTTAGGATGATTTTATTTGGCGTTGATGGAAGGAGCATTTCCACGATTTTACGAATTTGAAATTTTAATGAAGTTCGTTCCCTTAAAGGTCCCGGTTGGCTTAGTTAGGGATGCGAAATATCTCCGTCGATTTTTCACCGGGCCAGCTCCGACTGTTTGTTATTCACCGTGGTATTCCTTCCGTTAAAAATCGAGACGTAGACTAGTCCTAGTTGCTGTTCTGTTGTTCTCATTTCGGATGGTTGTAACCGTCGCAATTTTAAAATTTAACTTTTCTCATTATCAATTTGCATAGTTAATTTTTGTTGGAACAAGTTTGTTCAGTTGCGGGGTGGTCGTTGGTGGTATATCTCGACTCATTCAGTTCAGTTTCCGCTCTTCGTTTTTGGTTTTGCGTGAGTCGAGTTGTTGGAGTGTTGCCGCTAAATTTACACTCCTCCATCTCTGGAAGTATTCGTGCTAAAGTCTGGAGTAGTTCTCTTCGAGTGCGCGGACTTTGGTGTTTGATATTACACAATTTCAAGTCAAGTTTAACAGAGGGATAAATTAATATCTAAAAGTTACGGGGGCAGAAAAGACGTAGTGAGTTTAACAATTGTCCCATCTCTGTTTTCATTTTTCCAGACATTTCTGGAAGTTCTTATCAGAAGTCAGACTTTTCTCTATTTACAGTTCGTAAAGGAAAAAGTCTGGTGAATAGGGAGGGTGATCTAGAGTCGTGATCGAATTGTCAGCGTCTTTTTGTGGGACAGCCATCGGTGCACAGTTTATTGGACAGGTTATAATATTGTAATGTTCGTGGGTTTAACATAATTAACTTCTAAGACTGCTAACGACAAAAACTATTTATTTACACTAATTATTATAGACTTAAAAACACTATTAAATTATTACTAAACTTAGGTTATGAATTATTCTATTTATTTACACTACTGCTATCACTGTCAATTTATTTCCGAATTCACTTCTGCAACGGTCAATTTATTTCTATTCCTTCGCGGCGATCGTCTCTTCCTTAAAATACTATTTTGTTTCCTTTCTGGAACCTTCTAGAAACATCCGGATCGTTTAGGTTTTCTTTGAACTATTTAACTGCTTTCCAAGAACGCAGATACGATACACAGATTTACAAATACGGTGCACATGAAGAAAGGCGCTCGCGGCTAGTCGGCGAATCGATAAGCCGACCTTGCACACGTATGCCCGATCGCACTCAAACACGCTCGTGTTCGTTACAATACGTTTTCTTTTCCTTCTTTTAACTTGAAGATTCTGTATCTTTTTCTGAAGTTAATTACCCAGGGGTTATGCGCTTTTATGTGTTATTTTTGAGATTTCCGTATTCTGTTTTCGACAATGTCTGAACAAAATTAATATT